TATATATATATTATATATATATATATATATATATATATATATATATATATATATATATATATATATATATATATATATATATATATATATATATATATATATATATTGTTAAAACTAATACTATTTTTAATAATAAAAAAAATATAAATATGTACTTCAATTTTAATTTTGAATTGTTTTATTAATACTAAAAAAAATATGGGACGGTGTTATGAAATCCTCAAAATATTAAATGCAATAAATTATTAGAATAATTTGGATTAATTAATTAGTTTTTTTTCTCTTGAAATATGATAAAATTATTATATATACTATTTGAATTAAAATTTAATAATATAAATATATTTGTGCAACGTTTTGTGAACCTAATATTTTTTAGCCTTCCCTCCCTAAGTTTTTATCATTGGTCCTGTCATTGGCCACATTCAACTTGTAATTGTATGTTTAGGTGGTTGCATTTTTTATAACTCAATTTCTTACAACTATATTTACATACAAATGAAAATAGATGAATTATTAAAATAGAACCTTGATTTAATAACTTCAATATAATGGAGTTAAAAAAAATAATTTGAAGTGTGTAAATGACGGTTAAAGTGAATATATACCTTGATAACTCATTGAAGTCGCTCTAATAATTGACCCAAACAAATAATTACACCAACCTCCATTATGTGTGACTTATTGCTCTATATTTCTGTCAAATCTTGGAAATTAAAGCAATGCTCTCTCTCTCTCTCTCTCTCTCTCTCTCTCTCTCTCTCTCTCTCTCTCTCTCTCTCATACATATGCAATTTGTAAAGAGATATATAAAGAGATATGAAATCTGATTCTGATTAAGCAAGAGGTCTGGTCCTGTCAATATATATAGTTTCCACACATTATATTAATTCACTAGCATAAAATTACATGGTCAAACGCATCAGACTTCTGAGGAAGTCTTCCCAATTTCTAATTAATATAATAATATTGCACCTTTAATTTGATGAAACGTTACATCAATAATATAATATACATACCCACTAAATCTTTTTCCAATTTCAAATCTTCAAAAGGTACAATAAATTCAAAAGCTAAATTAATTCTTCAATGGCAGGAATTCGAAAAATTGGTAAGGTATGACGTCATCACTGATGTCATTCATGGCTGCACCACCGGATTCCTCCTCTTCCTCCTTGTCATCTTCACAGCCGCCGCCGCCGCTCCCCAGAGGAAACAGTTGGAGGGTCTGGGCATCTCCGCCACTGCCGCCGGCGGCGGCGGCTGAGTGGTCGAAATTTTCAAGAATGCAGGGTTCAATACAAGTAGAGACAGGAGGATATGGAGAAGAGATTATATGACACGTGGCATTCCTCTGTGCATGATCGAATTGTAGCCATCCATCTGATTTGCATTCTGCGTCTGCTGCTGCTGCTGCTTCTGCCCCTTGTGTTGCAACATTTTTCTGATAGTAATTAATTAAATGCATGCATGCATGCAAATATCAGATCCTTCAGAAATTAGTATATAAGTCAAACATGCATGCATGCAAACAAACGAATTAAATACTTATAAATATCGATACTCTTTAATTCAAAGCAACCAAAAAAACCCAAATTTGGTTAGATTCACTTAATTGCTGTTAGACCAAAATTGGTTAGTTTATCAATTTTAGCAAATGCCCCCCTATAAATCAAGTTTTTTGCAAATTAACCCATAAAAAAACTCCAATAGAAGATTCTATGTTAAACAAATGAATTATAAATGATTTTTTTTTTGTGCTAATATTAATAATATGATGATTTATTTTAGCAATTCGATGTAACATATAGGAGCAGTAAATTAAATGCAATATACTTGATTAGCTAATAAACAATCAACGAATTTCCTACCACGAACATCGTTTATGGATTTTTCGGGTCCCCTAAAAGATCGTGATGTATTATATATATAATCGGCCGGACTTCATGTAATTAACTCCATATGATATTAGGGCCATTCAACATTTGAATAACATCTAAAAATAAATGTACATATATATAGACTTAAATTTGTTGATTAATATTTATAAAAGTGGAGTAGGGGTAGAATGGTCTTCTACTAAGTTTGAAGCCATATATAATAGAAGACTATACGTGGCCATGTTAGGTTTGCAAATTAAATGATGAATAAACACAAACCCCAAAAAGCCTAGCTAGGCAAGCAATGTTTCATAACAATACCAGCCCCGACAGAAAGGAAGGATTGCATGCAGCTTTTTCACACTCTCTTTTCATTTAATTTCCCAACAAATTAAACTATAAGCTTTTTTAATTAATTTGCTGCCTCTTCCCTCCAAAATATATTTGTATTATTTTTTTTAATAAGGGACTATAATCCTATATATAAAAGAAAAAAAACGTTGGGCAAGCTAAGAAACCCTACTAGCATTTTTGTAATTATTTATTTTTAATTTTTTTTTACTAATTTTCTAATTATATTTTCAACAATTATCAAAATTGACACTGAACTGTGAATAATCGTTCCGGTTTCAATCTCCTATTTTTCACCATATATCTCAAATCTTAAGAAATAAAGATAAAAATTCGATTTGTTAAATTGATCAATTTTTTCACTTTTAAAATCCGATTCCGTGCATCGCACGGGAAGAAAATGCTAGTTTATTTAAATATATAACATTTTATTCGGAATTTAATTAGAGATATCACATAATTTTAATAATTTTATCGATCTAAATAACGCAACTACCCCTACTAATCTATATAATATCTTAATCCAAAATATACGAAAAAGAAAATATAAATTATTAATAAATTTGATATTTTTTTGGTTATATATATATATATATATATATATGTATATATATATATATATATATATATATATATATATATATATATTTGTAATCAGAAATTAATGTAAAGACATGTTGATGATGTAATCATATGCTAATAATGATGTAATTAGTGGGATTTAATTTAAAATTGCTTTTTTAGAAGATATATGCTAACAGTGTTACAGAAAGATAATAAAGGTGTACCTCTGCCAATATTGTACTAATAGAGTTTGTAGGTGATGCCCAGTTCTTGGATTCTTCAACCTCAAATATTACTGTCCCATTTTCCTCTGTCCAAACAAACACAAACAAAATATTACAGACCAACTTTACAACTCAACCAACAATATTTCCTATTTAATTTTTTTGTTATATATATATATAAATATTAGTATTCTTTTTAATTAAGACATACTATTATTAATTATTATTACCTGGTGACGATGATTCTTTGTTTTGTACATGATGGGTAAATTGAGTACTATAGTTATGGGTTGGTGGTTCATCGACGACTTGATCGTGGTCGAGTTGGCGGCGGCGTTTTTGGCGTTCTCTAGCCTTGTGATTCTGGAACCAGTAAAAGACATTTTTGCCCTCAATCTTGCCGTAGCGGCGGAGCTGGGCGGTGATGTGTTGGATTTGCTCCGCGGACGGAGTTCTTGTGCCCCTCCTGTACAATTCTTCTAGGGTTTGTATTTGCTCCAATGTAGGGTTCCACCGCGTGCTCACAACCACCTGCTGTTTCGTCGCGCCGCCGTTGTTTAACTCTCTCTTGTTTCGATCCCCGCCACCCATTGCTGCTCAAAATCATTACCCATCGTCAAATAAGAGAGAGAGAGAGAGAGAGAGAGAGAGAGAGAGAGAGAGAGAGGACTTGCCAAGATTGTGATTTAGGGTAAGAAGATCAGTGCCGCTGATGCGGGAGCAGGCGGTTGTCCGTACGAGAGGAATATTCCGGCCGTTAAAGGAATCTTGATTGATGCCTTCGTTGTACCCCATCATCCACATGATGTTGTTTTTTTAGGGTTTCTTATAAGGGTTTATTATATATATATATATATTTAATTTTTTGTAAGGAAGCTAAGAGATGAGAATTGGAAAATCTTTATAGGATTTCTAATGTACAGATTCAAATGATTCGAAAAAGAAATAATTTCAAAATATGTATTCACATGAAGAAAAGAAAAGGGCTTTCACTAAATAAGAAAATATAGGAAAGGGTGAATTGTATTATATTGCACTTTGACCCTCTCGAGTTTCGAGCATATCTTTTTGGCGTCACTTTGCCCCTCCAAAATTAAGTCAATATATATATATACTAAACAAAAGTTATTCACATTCATATATCAAAGTCTTAAATTAATTACTTATATAACTCAACCAACATACTTTATAAAATCAACTATAAGATACAACAACCCGCAAGGGTGGCCTAGCGGTTGGAGCAAGGGAGCTTGGGTCAATTGACCCAAGTTCGAATCCCCTTGTCAACGGTCGCTAGGTCGAGCTTGTCACACATGGTTAGCCTAGTGTGGTTTACATCTCTCGTATAGTTTGCAAGCTATTATACGAGAGTGTAGGTTTACCCAGTGCACCTATATGGTTGGCTGCGGGTTCCTGCATTACCAAAAAAAAAAAAAAAAAAAAAAAAAAAAAAAAAACTATAAGATACAACAACAACAACAAACAGACAAACAAACAAAAAAAGACCATGTATCAAAAAAAAATCTGGTTAAACCCTTTCGTTTGGGTAAAAGAATTATATTGAACCGACCAGGTGGACTGGGTATAAAATTCGGTTCAAACCGGGTAAAACCTATTTTAATTTTTTATATTATTTTAATTGTAAACGCAAAACATTTTATTCAATAAATTAAAATTTAGCACTAACCCATCTTTTTGTTTAAAATCTTGATTTTGCCAGAATATTGCATTTATTAACCATCTAAATACGAGTTTATCAAATTTTAGCATAACTCAAACTAGTGTCAACCGCAGATGCAGACACTCGTATTTTTTAATTTGTGAAGATTTCCTACCAAATTTTGTGTATTTTATATTCCACAAAAATCACCATAAAATCTTTTGCTCTAAGTAGAAACCTCTATTTTTTTCAATTTCACGACAAATGTATGAACAAATTTTTGAGTTTAGTGTTTTCCCCCAATTAAATTCTAAAAGTTCAAAAATCTAGGTCGAATCTAGAAATTCAACACTAAATGTAATAAATTTAAATATAAGAGTGAAATGTAGGAATTTATTTAGAAATCAAATTAAAGAGATGACAAATAAGTGGAATAATTTTTATTTTTTTAAAAATAATCTACATTAATTGCTCCTGTAATTTAAGTTAACTGTATTATCTTTAGGCTTTAAATACTACAAGCTCATAGAGTGGAGGGTACCCAAACCCAACCAAAAGATACGCAGGAATTAAGAGGTGCAAAACGGGAAAGAACAGTAGGCATGTATAAGTATGTATATATATATATGTGTGTGGGTGAGAGAGAGATAGCGATAGAACAATGGGGACAGAAGGAGAAAGGGCAACAAAGGAGAAATGGGTGTTGGGTTTAATGGAAACAAATAAAGTTATTAGAACGACATGTGGTTGACGGACGACTGGCGCTATGTCCTATGCATGTATGTACATGTTATATATCATGATGATACCCAATGGATGCACACACACTCGCACACGCAGATCAGATATCTAGAGAGAGAGAGAGAGAGAGAGAGATCTAGAGAGAGAAAATAAAAAAGGAGAAAAAGAGAAAGGATGGATGGAAGAAATAGAGCGTGGAATTCTGGGAGTTATTGGGACAAGTGAAGAGAAAGTGACGTGACGATGATGAGGGTTATCATAACCCTCATCACACCTTCTTCTTACAACCTCATTTATTCTTCTTCTTGTCTCTCTCTCTCTCTTCTTTCACCACTTATTCTCAATCCAAACTGCCCCTCTCTCTCTCTCTCTCTCTACATATATATAGATATATATTATGTGTCTTGTCTAATATAAATTATATATTTACACACAGTACCTAGCTCACCAATCACAAAGGCTAATATGTTTGGACTACATTCATGAATAGTCAAGTCGTCTTTTAATATACTATACAGTTTGAGTCAAATTAAAACTCAATTATTTTGTGTGAGTATTTCTTCTTTCCCTTCTTTTATAAGTTTAATTAGTCTATATGATTTAGTAGTTGTACTTAATGAAATGAGCTCTTAATGAAGATACTAATCAAATCATATCATCTTAAGTATACGTACTCTCAACGATCATAATGTACCCATCTAAACTAAGACGAAAACCTTCAAAATATTGTGCATTACATACAATAAAAATGTGAAGCTCCAATGAGATAAAATGGGTACAAAATTGAGAATATTCTATATAATTTATAAAATTCCACTAAATTTGAAAACAAGAGGGTAGACTTGTAAGAGATTTATAGTTGAATGTGGTTGTAAATACCCAAACATAAGGGGGTTTTCGTAATTTATCAATACCTGGAGGTGGTTGTAATTTACCCAAGAAAAGAAGAAGAAGAAGAAGAAGAAGAAGGATAACTCGTCATGGGAAGTTAATTCCATTTAAGGCCGGTTTGGCTAGCTTTTTTTAAACAGCTGATATTCTTACATCTAATAAGATGTTTTAAGAGCGGATAAGCTATTACATCTTGTTTTTAGAATTAATGTTTAAAGTGTTTGGATAATGAATTTATTTGTCATTCTACTCATTACAGAATCTTAAATAATAATATGGGGTGTACTTTTTAAAAACTCCAACAACTTATTTTTTTAAAGGACGAATGACAAAAATGTCCATCACATGAGACTTAAACGCACATTGATCCACAAAAAAAAAAAGTATCTCAATTAAACTCATCCCCATGTCTTTAGTCTAAAACACCCTCCATAATATAATTCTTATCAATTCCATCCATTATGCTCTACCTTCTTTAATATTACACATTGACCCCGGATTTAAACAAATATATCACATTAACCTCCGAATATTTTTTTTCAGAAAATGTTTTTTTTTTCTGATTTTTTTTCCGGCTAGATTCCGGCGTTGACTTTTTTTTTTTTTTGGAAACCTTTTTTTTCTCATGAATTTTTTTTCCGGCCGGTCAACCACTGTTGACCGCCGGTCTCCGTCGTTGACATTTTTTTTTTCGAATTTTTTTTCTTAGAAAAAAATATTTTAATTAATATTACTGTCTTGGCTACTAAATTACTGTCTGAGACAGAAATATTACTGTTTGGGACAGTAATATTATGAATATTATTTTCCCGAACAGTAATATTATTAATATTATTGTCTAAGACAGTTGCAGCCAAGGCAGTAATATTAGTTAAGATAATTTTTTAACAAAAAAAAATTCAAAAAAAAATTAACAGTTAAATAACTGTTGGAGACAGTAATTTAGCAACGAATACAGTAATATTAATTAAAAAAAATAATAATAAAAAGGTCAATTAACAGTTAAATTACTGTCTCCGACAGTTAAATAACTGCTGGAGACAGTAATTTAGCAACGAATACAGTAATATTAATTAAAATATTTAAAAAAAAAGTCAATTAACAGTTAAATTACTATCTCCGACAGTTAAATAACTGCTGGAGACAGTAATTTAGCAACGAATACAGTAATATTAATTAAAATATTAAAAACAAAAAGTCAATTAACAGTTAAATTACTATCTCCGACAGTTAAATAACTGTTGGAGACAGTAATTTAGGAGCAAAGACAGTAATATTAATTAAAATATTTTTGAAGAAAAAAAAATAGTCAATTAACATTTAAATTACTGTCTCCGGCAGTTAAATAACAGCCGGAGACAGTAATTTAGTAGCCAAGACAGTAATATTAATTAAAATATTTTTTAAAAAAAAAAAAAAAAAAGTCAACGGCTGAGATTCGGCGGTCAACAGCTGTTGACCGGCCGAAAAAAAATTTCAGGAAAAAAAAAAGTTTTCAAAAAAAAAAAAAAAAAAAAGGGCTACGCCGGCGACCGGCAGTCAACGGTGGTGGCGGGTCAAAATTGAAATTATGGTTAAAATTGGTTAATGGATGAAATTGGGCTAAATTGGGGTGTAAATCATGAAATTTGAGTTGAATTGGGTTTCAATGAAATGGGGGTAATTTTGGTATCTATAAAAGGATTTTCCTTATTTGCAAATAAGTTTGAATGAACTGAATTTATTTGAAAGACAAAAAAGTTGTATGTCCCTCTTTTAATTAAATGTCCTTGTCATGGACCTATTGTCATTTGCCCTTTTTTTAAATTCTAAAATTAAAAAAAAATGCCAAATATTTTGTAAGAGCTTATAAGCTCTTAAACATCTTATAAACCTAGGTAAACACCCTCGTAGTGTTAAATACCGAACGCCTAACTATATATATAAATATATAATAGGGGTAATTACATTAATTGAATGTGATAGAGAAAAATCAAATAAAGTGAGTAAAAGAAAGATAAAGGGTAAATTACACCGACACCCCTGAGGTATGCTTAAA